CCTGCCTCTAAGGCCACCTGCAGATAAGGGAGCGTTGGCAGGAGAAGAGTTGCCCTCTTGGCGAGGTGGGGCAGGCAGCCTTCAAGCTGGGCGTTCTGGGGAAGAGGAGGAATTTCAAGAATTTCCTTCCACTTCAGGGTGAAGATCTAGAAGCACCTGCTTTTAATTATGTTACTTGTAGACGCTGAGATGGATGGAAATGTACAGTATCGGAAATATCTAGTTTCCCCGCCCCTTACTGTAAGGAGCTCAGTGGGAAAGAGCTGTGCTGCCAACCCAAAGCTATGCAGTTCAAATCCACCAGCAGCTCTGAAGGAGAGGGAACTTTCAATCTCCTCCCCTGTAATTACTGCCTCTGAAACTCTTCTGGAGGCTCTGCTGTGGGTTGGTTCTGATTCTCACGCAGTGAGTTGAACTGTCCCCTTGTTTCACGTGCCAGTTCTAGAGCCAGGGCCAAGCACAAATGTGCTGAGTAACATGAAAAAAGTAAACGGATTATTTTAACTCTAGTTTTCTTAAAAAAACACACCTTTATTATTGTTGAGTTGTGTTGAGTTGGAACAAACCCATAGTGGACCCTCCAACAGTTTCCAGAGGCTGTGAATCACAGGGGAGGAAATTGCCCATCTTTCTCCCATGGAGCCATTTGGATTTGAACCACCAGCCTTTATAAATTGAAAGAACGACACCCTATCCACTAGGCCACCAGAGCTCCCTCTTATCTCCTAGCCGGAAGCGTTAGCAGGAGCAGCCTGGTATGAAATAGCTGTTTGCTACACCGCCTATAATGGGCCATCCTCCGTTTATCTCATTTGTCAATAGATTTATTGGTTTACAGGCTTGGGTATATAATCACTTACTTCCTATACACCGCTGCCCACTTATAACCATTCCCTACAAGCAGTGCAGCAGATATAGATGGCTGAGGGTTAGCATTTTAGGAATCTGTGAGACTCTTTGAATCACATTGTATTCAAAGGAGCTCTGGTGGCCTAGTGGCAAGAGGCTGTACTGCAAACCTTAAGGCATGCAGTTCAAGGCCGCTAGCTGCTCCATGGGAGAAGGATGGGCAGTCTTTTCTGTAGGTGTGATTAACTGCTTCTGAAAACCCACCAGAGGGGCTGCTAGCGGCCGGTTCTGACTCAATAACAACAATTCAACATTTAAAATGACTGGATTACAGTGCTTAGTGGTTACTGTATGAAGCAGAAAAATTTGAATGGATATGTTTGTATAAATCTGGTTTATCTTTTTATTTTTTAGGGACAAAGTAAGGCAAACAAAAACTCTCAAAGCAACAGTTGATGTCAGATCCTCCAAACTTCCTGATAACCCACGTTGGTCAGATAGAACTGGCCCCACAGAGTTTTCAGTCGCTGATTTAGTAGAAAGTGTATCACCAGGTCATTCTTCCAAGGCGCCTCTAGATGGAGCCAAACTCCTATCTTTTCAGTGAGGACAAGTGCGTGTTGAACATTTGTGCCATTCAGGGGCTTCAGGGAGAGGTACTGCACTCCTATCAGAGACTGAAAGGAAGAACACCCTGTAAGGAGCAAACATCCAAATAATGAAAGGATGGGAAGGCCAAGTTTTCAAATTTCCTCCATGTATTTACTCTATTTGGAACATTTCTTAAACTCTCCTCTTCCATGTTGTTGTTATGTATTGTCAAGTTGGAACTGACTCATAGCTGACACCCCAGCAGATTTTCAGAGGCTATCCATCTAACATACTTTCGACATGTTGTAAGGAGGGACAGGTCCTTGGAGAGGGACATCATGCTTGGGAGGGTGGAGGGATGATGCAGGAGGGGAAGGCCCTCTATGAGATGGACTGATTCAGTGACTGGGGTAATCAGGATGGGTGTGTCAGAGGCAGTGCGATTGGCACAGGATAGGGCTGTTGACATAGGGTCGCTATGAGTCGCAAGTGACTCAACAGCACATAACAACAGCAACAACACATAAAACACATGGGAGGAGATTGTCTGTCTTTCTCCAACAGAGCTGCTGTCAGATTTGAATTACCTGTCTTTGGATCGGCAGCACAATTCCTTACCACTAAGCCGCCAAAGCTACTATTATATATGGTATTTTCTAGAGTTCTTTCAAAGGAAGCCGTTTTGAATACTGTAAGAGAGAAGTTATAAATTGTAAGTTCTGTGAAAAACGCAGAAAACCATGTGTTTTGTTAAATAGTGGAAATATTTTAACACTGTTCATATAGAATAAGTATTTGTATGTTTATAAATATATGAGTAAAAAGTTAGGAAAACAAAAGACTCAAAAAGCTGTTAGCAAATTTATTATGCAATACAAAAATAAGGAAGCAGAAAGTGATTTATCTGTTGCAATGTTTACAGTTTTGGGCATCCGTTTTTCAAAATGTACTACATACACCTCAATATCAAGACAATAGAAATCCTTATGGAGAAAAGTTTGAAACTGTCAACATATTCATTTCACTTGGATCCACAATAAGCACCAATGAACACATCAGTCAAGAAATCAAAAGAAATGTTGCATTAGGAAAATCTACTAAGGACTTCTCCAAAGTGAGAAAGAGCAGTGATGTCAGTTTAAAGACTAAGGTGTGTCTGATCGAAGCCGTAGTATTTTCAGTTGCTTCGTATGCATCTGAAAGTTAGACAGTGAATAAGGAGAGAGAAGAATTGATACCTTTGAATTGTGGTGTTGGAGAAAAGTCTTGAATATCCAATTACTGACAAAAGAACAAGTCTGTCTTGGAGGAAGTGTAATAAGAGTGCTCCTTAGAGGCAAGGACGGGGAGGATCTCTCTCATATTTTGGACATGTTGTTAGAAGAGGTCAGTCCTTGGAAAAAAGACAGCATGCTGGGAAAGGTGGAGGGTTATATAAAGAGAAGAAGAAGCTCAACAAGATGGTTTAGCACAGTGACTGACGATGGTCTCAAACATAGCAGAGACTGTGAAGATGGTGTGAGATTGCCCCAGGTTCAGGGCCGTTCTTCACAGAGTCCGGATGAGTTGAGGATGACTTGACAGCAGCTATAAACAAGGGAACACCCTTGAGGAATCTGAGAATGGTTTGGAAGGCAAATCACATAAGACTCAATTCAAAGTAGGTTAAAGAAGACACATTACCTCAGAAAATATGAAGTTCAAAGGTCTGATCCATCTGGGATTGGTTGATTCAGAGGCTCAGTCAGATTTTCAGGAAACTTGTCTCTCCCCAAGTGTCACTCTACTGTAATTGGGGTGTGGACCCCCAGCTTGGCTTCTATAAGGTCAATGTCCCTACTGCAGCTCTGATTATCAAATAGCATAAAAAGTGAAGAGAAAGAAGATCGTGCTTCCTTTTTAATAACAAGGGCTTCCCTGGCTCCCTAAACCCGAGCTGACCTTTGTTCCACACTCACATCCTTCAGCAGTTCTGTTTCCATCCCAAGGCTGAGCCCTGCCCCAGGAATAGGGTTATTCTCATCGTCAGAAGCTCTCCAGTGTTTGCCTCTGAGGCCAGCAGGTCACCTAGTCTGTTTTGTAGCTCACAATCTTGGATGATTGAATATGATCATAAGTGATTAGCAAGAATTCTGTTAGCTACGGCTGTTGTGATTCCAGACAGTGCTGTCTGCTAAAAGGTGGAGGCCGCGTGGCGGAAGATGGGGGGGGGGGAGTGTGTCCTAGTTCCTGATTTCTGAGGCAAAGAAAACATAATGCCAGCAAGTACTGAGATTTTTTAAAAGACTTTGTTGATATAAATATTATCTCTCTATACATGATTAGAACAATAAGTATATTCAGAGAATGATGAGCAGTCTTCTCCTGTGAGATTTATAGCTGCTGAAAACCTGCTAGAGGCTCAGCTGAGTCATTTCTGACTCCATGGCACATAACAACAACAACAACAATGGCCCTCAATCTGTATGCTGTTCAGTCTACTCTTGTTGGTGGTGCATCCTGTTCAGTCAGAATTGACCCATAAACTGACCCTTCAGAGGGTTTTCACAGGCAGTAAATCCCATGGGAGGGGACTGCCCATCCTTCTGCAGAGCAGCTGATGGATTCGAACCAGGCGCCCTTGCGATTGCAGTGCAGCTTTTTACCACTAGGCCATCAGAGCTTCCTATTGTGAGCAAAATTTGTTATTGTTATGTGCCACTGAGTAGGAATGGAGTCATTGCTGACCCTCCTGTGGGTTTTCAGAGGCTGTAAATCACACAGAAAGTGAGTGTTTGTCTTTACCCCATGGAATAGCTGGTGGATTTGAACTATGTACCTTTCGGTTGGCAGTGCAGCTCTTTACCAATTACATCATGAGAACTCAATAAACCTATGTTGTTATTGTTGTGTATGGTCGAGTTGGAACTGACCCTCCAGAGAGTTTTCAGAAATAATAAATTACATGGGTGGAGATTGTCCATCTTCCTCCTGTGGAGCAGCTGGTGCATTTGAACTGTGTGTCTTTGGGATTGCAGGGCAATTCTTATCACTGGGCCCCCAGAACTCGCCATAAGCATGCCCATTTCTTTCATGTAGTATGTACGTTCTTGCTTTAGGGTATGTGCATGGTGGGGAGTGATGAGAAGAGAGGGATGGGGGCAGGGGAATCACAGATATGTTAAATAGTCACTGCTTCTTTCTGATTTGAATGTTTGGAATTATCAAGTCCCTATTTATTGTTGTCACCCCAAATAAGGCTAGAACTGGTGCTCTGCATTCTCACCCTTTAATTATTTGGAGAGTGAAGGATGTCATCTTGAGGACACCATACATCTACCTACCCACCTGTCCTTGGCTCATTTCGATCCTGGAAAGTGGTTTGAATATGTGTGAGGTGGCTGCCCTTATGCCCAAAGGCAACCTCACGTGTATAACTTTTCATTCTTCATTACCTGTGTTGAGCTATGAAGGCTCATCATCTGCTTACCTAGGTAATAGAGCTAATACTCTTGCGTCTTTGTACAGTGGTGGGTCCCAGGATTAACAAGTGACCAGAGCTCTTCCCTTCTCCCGTCCAGGGAGGTGCGGATCAGTTCATCCAGTACCACAACCTCTGAGAGTCAAGACCCACCTTCGGGGGACCCTGCCGTCAGCACTCTCCAACAGCAGCTCTTACTGATGGTGGCTCGGAGGACCCAGTCAGAGACGCCCCAGGTATGTCCCAGCTGGTTCCGTTTGTGGATGTTTCTAGGTATTTTAAAACCCGTTTCCAGGAGGATTACGTCATGGTTTGTCAGCCAGGCCCCAAGTCATTGCATTCCTGGGTTGTAGACATATCAGTGCGTAGAAGTCTATGGAATGAGCAGGAAGTGAAACTGCACTAGCAGGTGCCCTTCCATTGATGGGCTGCCATTGTCATGGTTGTGCTTCCAAAGACACTGCACCTTCGTTCATCTGTGGTTGCTGTGTTGTACTTATTTCTCACCAGCTGACTTGGTAGCTCCTTCCTTGTGGTTTGGGCAAATATTTGCATTTTAAAGGTTAATTTAGTAAGGCCTTAGACATTGAGCATTTACAGATTCTTGAAGGTTTGTTTGACATAAGAGAGACTTTGCTCTTGAGACAAATGGCATTATCATCAAGGCATTTAAGTTGTGAAGCCTCCTGTTGTTAATAAAGATCTCTAGTAGGGTGGTGGGATGTATTGGGCCGCTAACTATAAGGCTGGCAGTTCAAATCCACTGTTGCTCTTCAGGAGTAGAACAGACAATCTCTTGTCATGAAGAGTCACTCATTAGGAACCTGACTGAGGGTCACTAAGAGTCAGAAGCGATTTGATGGCCGTGGGTTGGATGGCCTGTTAGTAACATGTCTTTGCTTCTTTCCCACACCTTAAGTGAGATCTAACTTTGCAGGACAGACCAAAGGTGCAAAGTCAAAAAGGCAGCCCAGAGGTCACACTCTAGACCTTGAGTTAGAATCTGTGCTGGTCATTTGGGATAAAGAGGACGGGAAGGCTCATCCTTTGGAATAAGGGACACCTGGCCAGACCTTGAAGAAGGTGGAATTCAGTTGGTGGAGAGAAGGTAGATGTGATAACAATGAGTTTGTTCAAAGTTTCTGCACTACTGTGTCTACTTTATTTGTGCCTGTATTCCCTTGAGAGAACCCCACTATTGCAAAGATTGTGTCATATTCTATTTGTTCTTTGACTGGCCTAACCAAAGTTACCCTAAAACATGATAGTATAATAGTTTGTAATATATACACCATTGCTTAGAGGTGCCAAAAATGCAGCTGTCTTCTCACTGGCTAACTGACAACTGAGTGCACAGTTCCTGCTAATGTGCTGGATGAAGGTTAAAAACATGATAAAATTCCTGAGGGTAACTCGGGATCTGGGCACCTGGCCAAGAGGGATGAGTCCTTGGAAAGGGGCATCATGCTTGGAAGGATGGAGGGACAGTGTAGGAGAGGAAGCTCAGGATGAAATGGATTGACTCAGTGACTGGAGAAATTTAGTTCTGTTGGAGATGATAAGATTAGCTCAGGGCAGAGCAGGTTTCAGAGCTAATGTCACTATGAGTCACAGATGACTTGATGACACCTAACAACAATCCAGGATTTATAAGGGTAAGTCACACTTTCATACCTGAAGGAGTCTCTGTGGAAACAAATACTCAATTAATTAAAATGTTGGGTCCCTTAGAGCTATTTCTTCACTTTTATGCATTGTCTTGCCTCTCTTTCCCTTCTCTAGACCTCTTTCTGTAGTGGAACAGCTGGTGGGTTTGAACTGCTCACCTTTGGGTTGGAAACACAACTCCTTATCCAGTAGGCCACCAGAGCTGCCTCTGAGAGCAGGAGTCTTCCTAAATTCAAATGGGAGGTGGGTGGAGCACTCTGATGTTCCTTGCTCCAGCCTGGTCACATGGTGTTGTGGCCTTGGTTTGGCGATAGTGCCAGGGCCTGCCCCTGCTGGTCAGAGGCCTGCCTTTTGCTTCCAGCTCTGAGGTCCTGTACAGTCTGGTGCCTCCTCACCTCCAGCTTCATCTTTGAGTTCAGCAGTCTTTCTGGACTTCATGTCTTCCCACAGATATAAGCCCCCACTGTGTTCTCGGCATTCTGCGCTTGGGCACCAACCCCGTTTCAGTGGACAGAGCATGAGGAACCCTACAGACTTAGAAATTAATGTCTCTGTGGAGCTTGTGTTTAGGGAACCCCAAGTCTCTACTACCTTTATCTCTTAAGACGTCAATGTTGAGCCCTCAAGAAGCAGAGAGGAATTTACCCCCACCCCCTAAATCCCACCTTTCTCCCTTAAGGCATCAGTGCTGAACTGGCCAGAAGAGGAGGGCAGTAACAGCATTGAGGTAAAGTGGGAAGACGTGATTGCCAGTGATTCTCTGAGTGAGGAGCCTTAGGAAATCTAGGAATGGCAGGGGTTCAGAGTCAGAGATACTGATTTACTGTCACAAACATGCCTTAGAATGCAAATAGAAAACAAATAACTATTGTTGCAAGCATGAGTCAGCGCCCACCTCACTTTGTTCCACTTTTGCCTTGTTGGATGCTGTGTTTTGTTGTTGTTATTGGTTTCTCCCCCACAAATTGAAGGTTTGTGGCAGCCCTGCATCAAGCATTTGAGAATTTACTCACTCACTTGTGTGTTCATTGCTGTTGTGCTTGAACTGATTCATAGCTGATGCTCCAGTGAGTTTTCCCAGGCTGTAAATCACTTGAGAGGAGATTGCCCATCTTTCTTCCTCAGAGAGCTGGTGGATCTGAATCGCCTGTCTTTGGGCTTGCAGTGTAGCTCTTTACCCACTGGACAGCTAGATCTCCTTATTTAATGTTGTCGTTGTTGACTACAACTCACAGTGACCCTATGAACAGTATCTTCACCCTGCCTTGTCCTGAGCCAGTCTCACTCTCTGATACACCTGCCCACCCCCGCCATGGTTACTATGTCAATATATCTTATCTAGGGTCTTCCTCTCATGCACTGACCCTTCTCCAGGGTCTGGTCCCTTCTGGCAATATGCCCACATTCAAAATCCTTGTCTACAAGGAGGCCAATTTGATTTGTGTTTGCCCTAGTGATAAAAAGCTAACTGCAATCCCAAAGGCAAGCAATTTGAATCCACCACCTGCTCCATGGTAAGAAGATGGGCAGTCTTCTCCTGTGCAATTTACTGCCTTGGAAAACCCTCTGAAAGAGAGCTCTCGTGGCCCAACAGCAAAAAAAAAAAGGCTGCATTGTAATCCCGAAGGCATGCCATTCAAATCCACAAGATGCTCTGCTGGAGAAGAAGGGGCAATCTCTTCCTGGGCCTGTCAGATCTGATTTGATGGTACACAAGATAAAAGAAAAAGAAAGAAAGAAAATTTAAAAAAAGGAAAAGTGTTAAAAACCCCCAACCCCTCTGGAGAGTGAGCTATGAATTGGTTCTGACTCAATGCCACACAACAATCCTATTTAATAATTAGTAGCAATTATAAGTGTCATCACAATTTTGTCTGGTATTTATTTGATGTCATTGTTTTGGTCAGTAGAATTGTCCTGCCAGCTTTAAATTTGAGGATAGAATAGTTCTTTATGTTCTTAAAATTTTAAAATTCACTGAGAAATACAAGTTCAAGTATATCTTACGTGAATTTAAAGAGCATCTCAAGGATAGATTAGGTATATGGAACACTAGTGACCAAGGGCCAGTTGTTCTGAGGAATAGCATCAAGGGTATGATACATGAAGAAACAAATAAATCGATAAAAAGACAGAAAAGAAAGACCAGGAAAGATGTCAGAGACAAACTTGCTCTGGAATAGATAGATAGATGATAAACAGATGATAGATAGATAGATAGATAAATAGCTAGCTAGATATAGATATTTGTTACTGTTGTTGTGTGCCATTATGCTACTTGCAACTCATAGTGACTCCATGTACAACAGCTCTGAACCCTGCTCTGTCTTGAGCTGGTGGCTTAGTGCCAAGAAGCTGTGTTGAAATCCCAAAGGCACGTGGTTCAAATTGACCAGCTGCTCTGTGGGAGAAGGATGGGCAATCTCCTCCCATGTGATTAACTGCCTCTGAAAACCCACTGGAGTGTCAGCTGTAAGTTGATTTGACTCAACAGCACACAAAAACCATAGATGGTGCAGGATTGGGCAAGATTTTGATCTGTTATAGGAGCTCTGGTGACGCAGTGGCAAAAAGTTGCACTGCAATCCTGAAGGCACATGGTTCAAGGCCATCAGCTCCTCCATGGGAGAAGCAGTGTCCTCCAGTGCAATTAACTGCTTCTGAAAACTCACCAGAAGGTCAGCTATGGGTCAGTTCCGACTCTCTGGTACAGTGTGCTTGATCTGTTACGCATGAAGCCTGACGTGACTTGATGTCACCTAAAACAATGACAGCATGGGAAAAATATTGAATGATGCAGGAAGCTTCCAAAGAAGATGGAAGGAATATACAGTCACTGTATTTAAAAAAAAAAAAAAGAATTGGTCTTTGTTCAGTCATTTCAGGAAGTAGCATATGATCAAGAACTGATAGTATTAAAGGAAGCACTCCAAGCAGCACTGAAAGCGTTGGCAAAAACCCTAGATGCCACAAATTGTCAGGATGCCAGTTGAGATGTTTCAGCAAGTAAATGCAGCCTGTGAAGTGTTTATTTGTCTATGCCAAAAAGTTTGGAAGATAGTTATCTGGCCGCCAAGCTGAAAGAGATTCTTCTGCATGCCAGTTCCAAAGGAAGATGGTATAGTGGAATGTGGAGATTATTACAGAATATCATTAGCAAGTAAAATTTTCCTTAAGGTACTTAAAAAGACTGTTGCAGCAAGACAGCAACAGGAAACTGCAAGAAATTCAAGCCAAATTTGGAAGAGAAAGTAGAACAAGATATATAATTACTAACGATAGATGTCTCTTATCTGAAAGCAGAGAATTCCAGAACGACGTTTACCAGTGCTGTGTTGATGAGGCAATGGCCTTAGAATCTGTGTATTATAATAAATTGTGGAAAGCATTACAAAGAATAGAAATTACAAAACACTTAATTGTGTTCATGTGGAATTTGTTCATATACCAAGAGACAGTTGTTTGAACAAAACAAGAGGACATTGTATGGTTTAAACTTAGGCAAGATGTGACTCAGCTCTACATTTTTTCACTTTACTTGTTCAGTCTATACATTGGGCAAATAACC